ACACACACACACACAGTGGACTGTAATAGAAAACAATGGCTCCTATAGGCACTGACCTGGCTGCCCTGTTCTTTTTATTCATTGTGAATCCAGATGAGTATGGCAGTTTTATGCCCAATGTGCCAACCAATGGTTCTGCTGCTGAGCTTTTCCTTTTTCTTTTCAAGTCCCACTAAAAGCGAAGTATCTGCGAGGCAATTGCAATGCTGTTTGGCTGTTGTCTATATTTCACTCTGTGGGTCACTGCTACAAAGACGCTCAGTTTTAATGTTCATCTATGCGTCTCTGTTGCTGCCATTTGAACTCTGCAGTCGTGTATTTTTCATCAGTTTTATGTTTGAGACTCTGCAAAGTACTGGGTAACTCACTGCAAAGGAATTTACAATGCCATTAATGGAGTACTGTATTTTAATACTCCAGGGCGTTTATGAACTTTTCCTTATTCCGACACCAAAAAGAGAAAAGTATTCTTCCTCCTTTAGAGCCAAGCTAATCAAAAGAGAATGAGAGAACTGTACTAAGATAACAACTGAATCTATATACTGTTAGTTATCTTCAATAAACTGGATTAACATGTGAAAACAAATACAAAGAACTTAGCCTCAACCCCCTGGTTTATCATATCACATACATTATACATATTAACTAACTTAACTAACTTAACCCCGTTAGATGAATAAAGCTATGCATTTATGGTCTGCTACTGAGCAGATGGAATATCCCAAAGGAATATCCCGACAGAATAAATAATAATGAACAAACACTTAAGCAGCCTACAGTTATTACTACATTGACACTGTATTACAATACTGTTATTACTGCTATCATATAGCCTATATTACACAAGTGGCTATAAAACAATTAAGCAAAATGCATCAGTGATTCTAAGATTATTTACCCTTTTTAATGTTTAGTGTTAGGTTGTAAGACAGTCAAACTAGTCTAATCTACTGCTAGACCAGACGTCTATAATGATCTGAGATATAATAATAATAATAATAATAATAATAATAATAATAATAATAATGGGGTAATTAGACTTAATAACCCCAGCGGAGGTATAACTGTCTGTCTGTTCTGTGGCGCTAATTAGCAGGGTTACATATCATTGAGGGGAAAAATATACAATACTATATTACATACAGTAATATTATTATAACTGCACAAAGTATAGTAAGACCATGCCACATGCAGTGGTCATGTAAAGGGTGTGGAAAGTGCAGAGCTAATTAAAAGTGTTGACAGCTTTATCTGGTGGAGAGCACTCAAACTGCATTCTTGACATCTTCAAATCACTTGTGTTATCCAACCAACAGTCCTATCCCAAAAATAATCAGTTCACTGTCATTCAGGACAAGGAAAAGCAGTACATCCTCCCATTTGTAAAGCTAGAACCATAAAACAACCATGAGAACATAACAATACAGTTACTAGAACTCCTAATCAATTCATTGACTGTTTCCTCTTTTATATGTATATGTATAGCTATTTTAAAACAGTGTGTTGACCTAACTGTGTATAAAGAATCTTTGAGTTTCTATAAAATAAATATATTAATATTATTATAACCAATGAATGAAATTTTGTCTTAAAAAGCTACCCAACACTGTAATGATGAGCACTGCTGATTGAAAGATTTTAGACATTTGATGCTTAATGGGTGGTAATGCTCATACTGACTGTCTTGTTACTGAATTCTTTTTCTACTATGAATAAAGCTAGGAACCAATAACCCTTAGTAACACATTGCTAACCCAGTATACTCCTGCACTACTAGCCTATCTGACCACAGACACTTGACAAAGGCCTGACAGCTTGGCTTGACACACTTCTTCTAATCTAATCTCCAATCCTTCTCCACTGTATTCACTCAGCTAGTTAAGCCCCTTGCTAATGAGACTGTGTCCCATTGTATGGAATTAAACCAGAACACTACTCACTGCCTAAATCACATCACACACAAGGACCAATTCTACAAGGGAATTAGGAAGCTGGGAACATGTTTATTGTGCGATACAAACAAGCACATGCAATTACACATGTGAGAATTGTTTAGCTACAACAGTGTAATCGATTCATGAAATTATATCACCTCACTGCTCCTGCCAAAGACAACTTGTTCTAAACATGAGTGAAATGCAGTATAAAAGAAAGCTATGAAGCTGTGAAATGGCATAGAAAGCACCATGAGCAGTCAGTGACATACAAGAAGGACCTGTGACATGTATGCATAACTACCACAGAGGACTCTCAAATTAAAACCACACACAAAGAATAGCCCTAACAGAGATCTATGACCATTAGATAATAATACTTGCTGGAAAATGTTATATCTGATGACTTTCTTCCCTCGTGAAATTGGACATACAGTATGTATTACACAGAAATCACACAAAATAATCCAATCACAACTGTGCTGGGGTTTGGTCACTTATCTGCATAGGGAGATTCTGTGAACAAAAGAACGCGGGGAACAGGCACACTGTACAGTGAGATAGTACTGTGTATCTGCCAGCGCAAATATTTCATTGTTTGCTGGTTTTGGCATGTTAACCCATTATTAAAATAGCTCTTTTTTCTTTTCTTTTTTTTTTTAAAGGAGGAAAATTCAGACCAATATATTGCCAAGACTTCCATCCACCCCTGCCTGCCTACCGACTGTAAGAAGAATGCAATCATTACACCTCAAGCAGGAAATGTTTGTTCCTGAAAGCTCCAGAAGTGACAACATGGAGTTTTCTTTAAATTAGAGACAATTTTTACATGAAGACAAACTGCCCATTGTTCAGCCTGCAGCAAGCCAGTTTTATGTTTTTCCAAGTCCTAGCATTCCTGCGCCCCTGTCCAAGTCGGAGGGGTCGTTGTCCGCCAGAAAAAACACAGGCAGACGAGGCTTTCTTGTCGCCCATCACGCTCAAATAACGTACATTGTGACCAATAACCACGAGGTAATAGGGATTAGCTAACGTAAAGCCTGGAACATGGGGTGAATCTAGAAAGCCAGCCGTACCTCCATCAGCTGATTTGCAGTATACAGCAGATTAAAGCATTTAGCTGCTCGGGACTCAAATTCCTACACATGCTTTTACAAATGCAGCTGCTCTCAGAGGACAACACGTTAAAATCCCAGCTGTTTCTCCCTGACAAACTGATGATTTTTAAAGCGTTACATTACTTGTGTACATATAGATTCCACTGTGGTTTTATCATTCTTAGCTAAATATGAAAACATGGAGTTGCGTTTCAGCCAGTAAAAGAAGTGAGAGAAGTTTGAAGATGTTGCTGTAAATAAGCATAGTGCTGTCTCGACTAGCTGTTTGCTTTTCATAAACCCCCGCTGGTAGTCTACCTCCCATTAATTTGCTTGCTAAGTGGTCAGATAACTAGTAAACTCCCCACGCAACAATGGCAGATATTTTGGTGAAACAATGCTGAATACAAGTGGTGCACTCATTGGTTTAAAGAGCCACAATGACTAGGGGAAAGCCACAACATAATTTCCGCCTGACAAGCCTGCAACCTGCCTGGCTGGCTAGCCATCATCCACTGAGATTTTACCATTTGCTTTGCATGTAACAGACCAAGCAGGAGGACAAAGTCAGCGTTTTCCTTACCGTCAGGTCGGGATTGTCGCTGTCACGGTGGTTAACGGCTCGTATGACCCCGGACCTCCATGGCCACCGACCGATGTCGCCAATTTCAGGCGGCTCGTCCCCGCTGACACAGAGGAACCGCTTCCCTACCAGCTCCGGCCGAGCCTCGACTGCCATGGCCCTTCGCTGGTCAAAACCCCCCCTCGAAAAAACTTCCCAACAACGACGCCCTTACAGACCTGTTATTTACGACATTAAACCAGCTCTAAAGAATCCAACAATAGAAAGAAAATAAAAAAGGCAAAGTATTTGTTGCTAAACGCTGAAAAACCGACCCGGGGGATTTAAATGAGTAGCAGTCTCCACCCGCTCGAGCGCTAGTCTCTTTTCTCTCCGCGTGAAAATACGGTGGAACACTGAACCGCATCACATGTTTCTCCGCTGGATCCAGAGGCATTCACAGACTGCAAAACGGTTGTGTCCCTCCGCTCAATTGAACCCCACTGGTTCTATTTTCGCAAAACTACTCTTCCAACTGCTTGTACTTACAGCTGACACGACTGGTATAAACAGCAACTATAGACAACTTCTGCTTCCATTATCACTTTAATAGCATTACTATTATTGTTCGCTCTAGTATTAAACTGTTAAACAACAACAGCAGCATTCATGTAGCATTATGCTAATAACATAATAACACTGTCATTATTTATTTTCCAAGAAACATAAACAAGAATCAAATGTCAATATACAAACATACAAAAGACATATTTAAAAATTAAATTAAAGCATCAAGAAAGGAAAATAAAATATATACATAAACAGTAAATACAAAAAATATAAATAATAAAAAATAACCTGACAAAATATGTTTTTAAAATTCTAATTCACTCTGTTGACCATGTACACTTTCCAGGTCTATGCGTTGAAGATAATTAATAAAAGCATCCCATACTAAAAAAAAATAGTATAATAGAATATGTCAATAAGGATATACATGTAGACAGTAACCTGCAGCCATTCACCAATACTTGGACTATTCAAAATTTCCCATGATATGCTATCATCCATTGTGTCTGTAATAAACATAGATCTAGGAAGATTTTCTCTTTCTTCCTTTATTATGTTTTTTTGTATAACAACCTAAAAAGAAGAGTGTTGGCTCCATAGTTAACTGTAATGGGGATCCTATAACATTCCCAAACACAGTGAACAGAAAAGTGGGATATTACTATTAAATTAGTGTAACTTCTCTGGAGTGTTATATTTGCACATCAACCAAATAAAAAAACACTAATCACTTACACTGTATAGTACAATTAACTAACAGATTATTGAAACCCTAACTTCAATCCACTGCAACACTGAATATCAAGTCTGCATTAATCATTGTTAGTTATACTATTGTTTGAGAGAAGGAAGTGCACACCTTGCAAATAAGTTTATACATTACTGTATTCATCATTGAATTAAACAACTCAAGTAAATGAGTAAGTCTGCTAACTGATTTTCATATTATAATAAAAAAGGAGTGGAAACCAATGGCTGCCTTGATCAAAATACATCAAAAAATAAAACTGTATATACAGTAGAGTGTAAATGTGTAGCATGCATTCAAGAATGGTCTGTGAAAATGTGAAGTATACACTATCTGTAGTCAAATAGTTAAGATTAGCAAACACACTGGTATGAAACATTAAAAATAACTGCAGCCCATCAAGCCATCATCAAAGCACAATGGATGTAAAATCATATGTATCTATCATTTCCTTTATTATAATCTGCTGTTTATTTTACGCCCTCTTAATCCTACTGTGTGTGAACATCTCATTCAGAATCCAGCTGACATGCTTCGTCTCTTTCTTTCAGTGTGGATTTAAATGTCCCCCACTGAGGCCTCCTGTGATATAAAGGAGCAGGACAGAAAGAGAATCTGTGGAGGAGAGAATAAGGCAGAGGAACTGAAGGAGAACAAGAGAGGGAAGGTTTGTGTGTGAATGTGGCTCCATGGAGAATTGTACTCTTGTGTGCTTTTGCTTGTGTGTGTGTGTGTGTGTTTGTGTGTGTGTGCAGAGTGTAGGGATCTTAAGGACAGTATAGAGGTTTGTGTGTGAAGCATGTAGAAAGAAGTCAGGCTGGATGGGGGGCAGGGGGGCTGAATAAACACGATCACACTATGGACACAAATCAAAAGAGGAAAAGGCAAGAAAAAGAAAAAAAAGAGGAAGAAGGAAAAGAAACAAGATCAGAGGTACCATAGTGGTGGAATAAGAAAATGAAACAAAAAAAGAACAGTGGTAACCATGAAGAAGTGAGACTAACATATTTTTTGTTTTATTTACATATTGTGTTATGTTTCTTGAACAGGTGTAGTAACTTAGTGTTTTAGTTAGCATTAGAGTTATTTCTTGAACAACAACCACTGGACAGCTGTATGGCTTTAGAATTGACAGAAAGCATACTTGAGAGATCTAAGATAGCAGCCATCCCTTGCTTGCAGTTTTTGTATTAAACTAGGTTAAATCCCAGGCCTTGAAAACATGAAACTGATAACATCTCTATCTTTTATGTTATTCTATTTTGGTGTTTAGCATGGAGGAATTACAAACTTTCATTTTGTTATACAACCATGTTGTTTAATGATGGATACATTTCCGTGATTACTTGATAGGTAAAATGGCAAAACAGTTGTTCCTGTGTTATAACTGTAATTAGAGGGCAAACCTGCTATCATAAGCCATTATTTACTTACGCTAAGTTACATACGAAAGTTAACAATGTAACCTTTTGCTAAAACTAACCAAGTAGTTTGGTGCCTTAACCTAACCAAACTTCACAACTTTAACAACGTGTCTATTATTGCTGTCATGACGACGAACGTGACTTGACAGAGGTCACCTGTCTTCGTCCCTTCCTGCAAATCCAAAACTCGTTAAATGTGTCATCGGTAACAGCGTTAAATGACACACAAAATGCTTAAAATCTACAGCTCAGTAATTAACACACCACAAAAACAGTCTGGTTCTTAAATTTGTAATAATAGAGCATAATTTGAAAAAAGTTGAAACTTCTTCTGAAAAGGACTCAAAAGCTACACACAGACTGCATCAATGTTCATTGGCATTAAAGGATATACCATCAGAGTCATCTTAAAGGACCAGTGTGTAGGATTTCGTGGCATCTATCAGTGGAAATGCAATTACAACCAACTAAATACTGCTTGTCTTCCAAGTGTGTAGGAGAAACTACGGTGGTTGATTTAGCAACCGTTTATATCATGATATAGTAATGTGAGCAGTGGAGCAGCCGCATGCTTGGTGTGGAGGTGTTTTTTGTTCAACTGTGATCCTATGATGCTGTCCCAGACAGGCAGTGTGACCAGAGAGGCTCCACTGGGAATATCCCTCACACTGCTGCACACTGCAGCAGCCGCTTCCATGAATAACAAGTAGCTATGAATCCAACACCCCCCTCCCCCATATACACATACTGCTATCATATGTACACATAACATGCTCATATCTGCATGTGGTCACACACATGCACATCTGCAAATACATAAAGGCACATGCTCATACAGTAGCTGCACACATACATGCTCACACACGTTTATGTACTCAGATATAATTAACTACACACACAGATGGACATGCACACATAAAGAGAAAGGCATGTTGAAACTCACAGATGTGGTTTGTGTCTGCCAAGTGCTATGTATGGAAATCTGTAATGCACATGATTAGGTCCGACTGGTGTGGTTTATGTAATGAGCTAGACAAAAGCAGTCCACTGCATTAGTACTTCAGGTATCCAATCGGTCCCGACTAGAGTAAATAAAATAATTTCTTTCTTTCTTTTGCAGTATTTGCTTATAAATGTAGAATACAGCAATCTAGATTAATGTCAACAATGCAGTGAGTATAGAAAACAAATCTGAATTCCATGTTTAGTACAACATAAGTAAGAAATGCATCATAAATAGTTATGAGATTAATATGTGTTAATATGCAATTGTTTTAGGATTTTGGTTGTGGACTGAGAGAATTCATGAACCTGTGATTTATTGTACTGAAAAAGAATTAAGAACCTTATATGATTAAGACAGGAAGGACCCACTTACAGGTGCAATTTACATCTCATTCTCATTCTTCTTGGATTCTTGAATATGTTTCTTTGCATAGCAATTTCCAGTGTGTAACATTAGGAGGACCTATTGTCAGAAATAGAATATAATATCCATAGTGTATATCACATGAAAATAAGAATGTTTGTTTTTTCATTACCTTAGAATGAGCCATTTTAACTACAAAGGGAGCAGGTCCTCTTCCACGGCGGTAATCATGTTGAAGTCAGTCACCCAGATGTACAGTTGTTATCTTGTTATTCTTCTGTTGGTGTTATGGCAGGTGGCAACCTGTGTTAAATGGTAAATGGTAAATTAACCTGTGTCTCCCACCCCATGCAGGACACCATCACTGCACTGAGCAGCTCCTTCAGTGACAGACTTCACCCTTTCACACACATTCATTCAGTGATGGCAAAGCCCATCAAACAGAAACTAACTCATTCGCACAGCATTGGGAGCAATTTGCGGTTCAGTATCTTGCTCGAGGAGACATGTGGCGGGAGGAGCTGGAGATCAAACCAACAACCTTCCGATTAGTGGACAACACGCTCTTCCTTAGCAGCCGTTAGGTGCATTACTGCCACCTACTTTGTTGGAGTGCAGACAATACCTGATATGTTACCTGATATATAAGGGTCATGGAAAGGGGCCCTTGATTTAAGGTGTATTTAAATCTGAAAAATTATTTTATGAATGTAAGTATGTATGACATACATATGTATGTATATATGCAGCCTGTGCATGCAAATGTAACTGCCGGTAGGTCCTTCAAACTTGCTACATTTTGTTTTATGTCCAGCTTTATAACTGAGAAAATTGAATAAGGTCTGATTGGATTTGATTTTAAAGGGCTATGCCAAAATTGTCCAAATCAACTGCTTTAGGAGATTTTTATATGGTAGCAGCTGTGCAGATGTGTTCACGTGTTTATATGTATGATGCTTGGTGCTCAAACGCAGTCAAAGTGGATGGACACGGTTTCTTTTTGAGTGAAGCTGAAACCATGATATCATCACTATCTTGTGACTGCTGTTTACATTCCCCCAGAAGCAAATTCCAAAGATTCACTGCAGAATTGTGTCCTGGGTGTATACATGCATGATGCATGTATGTATGAATATATGTATACTGTCACTAACAGAATAAAGGTTTATTTCATATTATGTTATCTGAACCTAAAGGGCCATTGTGTAGGATTTTGTGTCTAGGAGAAACTATTGGCTGCAAAACTTTCTCAAGAGAGAAGAAAATAAAAACAAGGTCACGTTCCATTTCCATTAAAGGAAAGTGCTTCCCCAACAACAACGCTTGTTAAATCCACAGAACCTCTTCATTGCTTCTCTCAACCATTGGTTAGAATTCGCCAGGAATCGAAGACAGACCAATTCGGGCACAGATCGCTGAGTTTGAAATTCCACCGCTTCTACCAAACGCAACGGTCACATGGGCAAATGTGGCCGACCAATGACAGTTTGTGTATGCTGTTAACAGACTGAACTGGCCAATAGCAGGTTCAGGGGGTAGTTCTTATCCTGTTGACGTCAGTAGCTATCTGAGCACCGTTCTGGTGCCAGGAACTGGGGAGTAAAGTAGACTGAGAAGGAGGAAACCTGGAGGCAATAATAGATTGCTACAAAACAACAGGAATCATATTGGATAGATATTTATTTGCTTAGCTCACGTTATGTCCACAAAGACAGAGCAGTGAGAGCGGACGTTTTACAGATATGTTGTTTAGTCGATGTACAGCGAGATAGCGAGCTGCTGGATTCGCTCATCGAAGTTTAGGCTGAAAAAGTTACAGCGGCTCGGCTAGCCGTTAACGTTGTCATTAGAGCTGCCTTCTACGTGTGACACAGCCCTACAGAACGAAGTCAGACAACATGGTGTCCTGGATCATTTCGAGAAGCGTTGTGTAAGTACAAAGACTACTAAGAGTAATGAAAGTGAACTAAAATGCTATTTTTACCTCACGGAAGGCAACTGATGCAATTAAGCTTTGTTCGCTTGCGTGGCTACATGTTACGGTCCTTTGGCTAATATGACCTTAACGTTAGTTCATTAAGAAAAAAAAAAGTTTTCGATTTGAAACTGTCAACAATAAACGACATAATTTAGTTAACCAAGTAGTTCCCAGACGCCACAAACACAAACACACTATATTGTTTCTTTTAGAGGATAAATAGTCCCCCCCCCCCCNNGTGTGCTATTGTGTCTCAAGCTAATGCTAACATGTTGTCTATGAATCGTGGCCATGGACGCTGCTGGTGAGTCAATCTTTACATTATGGAACTTTTGTTAAGTAACAGTGAGGTGGAACTTTTCAAGCCTCGACACGTTCACCTGTTAAGGAGTGTCAGGTACAGCTGTTATCTTGAAGATATTTTTAGCCAGCCCTGCCCAGTTTAACTTGGCAACCATGACATTGTTAGCACACAGGAAGACAGCCCTCCTCAGATGCATTGGTGGCTCTGCATGACTTTGTTTGGTTTCTGGATACTGAGTCATCCAATGTCATGCTCCTAAAATTCCATCTGATTAAAGAAGAACTCAGAGATTTAGATTTAAAATTCTGGATGTGTTCATTTGCCCATTTCTTACCGGATGGGGGTAAAAATGCGCATCACAGGATGCATTTTTGTCATTCTCTCCTGGTATCTCCTTCTGCTGTCTTTTCCTGTCTGTATACATCCAGGAGCAGTAGTTACGTAACTTGGTGTGATGAAGGATAGGAATGTAGTGGAAAGGATAGAAGGGAGTGGTGGAAAAATACAAAATGCCTCTCCTTTTTCTCGATTGCAACCTAATCTAACAAGCCCTTTGTTGTGATCACATATCAGTAAAGTCAATATCTGGCTCAAAGTAAGCAGATGCTCATTTTAGGAATATTTCATGTCTGTGGGCCTTTATCTCGTAACCCAACCATAACTGTGTAAATACTGCTTCTGTGGCTTTTTTTGTTTAAAAACAATATTTTGGTGGCTTTTATTGCCTTTTATCAATAGAGCTGAGAATGACAGGAGGGGGATAGAGAGGGGTAGAGAGGTGTAGGCATGCAGCAAGGGACCGCAGGTTGGATGCGAATCCTGAACCATATGGTGCCAGCTCTAACAGGTGAGCCATCTGAGCGCACCATTTGCTGCCTTTTAAAGATGTAACTGACTTGCAGCGTCATTACTAGTGAATCAGCAGAGACGGTGTGAATGAACGTAACCATGTTAATTCTACAACGTAGTTTAGAATTTGTAGATTCAAATGAACGCTGTGTTAGCTCTCATTTCTTTAAAATGTATATTTAGGCCAACCTAAACATTATTATTATTATTATTATTATTTCCACATGGCCTAATACCTAAAAGATCTTCTTTTTAAATACAAAGTTGGGAAATTATTGGTTATCTTATCGGTGTTGGCCAAAGCAGGTAATTATAGCTTTTTTTTTTTTTAACTAAAAATAAATCCATATTTTGAATCCCTCTCTGGAAATATAATGTTCTCTCTCTTAGTTTAGATTTTGTATTTTTGGCAAGATTTCTATGCCCGTGTTGGGAGTGTTCATTTATTTTCATGAGAGTGGCTTCTTGGGCAGTAGCTACTGCTACGGTGTAGGGGGTAAAGTGGGGTGCTTTAAAATTTCCGGAATTTCCCCATTGTGGGACAAATAAAGGAATATCTTATCTTAAGCCTGCAACTCATACTTATATATGTTGCATATACATATGTTGGAATTATGCAATGACAAGTTCAGAATTTTGAGAAAGACTCCAAGAATGAGGACCTTCATGGTGATTACTATCACATCGCACAGCAGTGTTCTTATTCTGAAACACGTTGAAGCTCAAATAAAGAAGCACTACCATGAGCTCCTGTACGGGTTGATACAGTAACTCTGTCACGCACAATGTTCAACTCTGGTATTGTTGTAAGGATGCATTTATTGTAGGGCTGTGGTATTTGAGGTGCAGATGTGAGTGGAAAGATAATTGACTTTTTAAAGCACATTGGCTGTATTGTCTGAAGGTGGAATGTTGTGTACAGATACACGTATCTGGCTGCTGTAGTCTTCATGTACTTCTCAGCAGAGTGAAGAACAAGCCCTTCAGGATCAGTAAGGTGCATGGTGTGCTTCCATTGCCTGAGGCACAGAAAAAAACTTGCCTTTTAAAAGACCTTAAAACACATTCTTATTTGTTAACTATTAGTGATTAGTTAGAAAAAGTTTGGTTATTTCTAGAGATGCACTGATACCAGGGTCAGGTATTGGGGCTGATACTGTGCTAATGTTCTCGTAATTATAACCATCTAAAATAGTCCAATACGGCACTTGATACCACTGTACAGCATTACATAACCTCTCGTTTGTTGAGCAGGTAGGCAGAGAATGTGATGCTACGTGATAGTTGGACACTCACATGCAGTTAGGACTAGGGATGGGGCCGATCCGATCCA